GGCGGGGGACAGTGGGCAAGTAGGGATACTTGCTTGTGCAGCTTTGAGCGCTTATTTTTCCTTCTACAGATTTAATGGCAGGAAAATCCTATATCAGATGAGGATTACCAGAGATGAAAGAATGTGTCTGCCTTTCAAATCAACAAAGCCAGTGGCAGATTTTGCTGACACCAATCGGCTTTATCCGCAGGCCTTGCCCTCTCCATCTGCTGAGCCCCTTTCTCTCCTTAAACCCTCCGCAGACCCCACCTCCTGCCCTGACCCCAGCCCAGCCCCAACCAATATGCAGCTAGAAATTGGCTTCCTGCCACCCAAATAGCGTTATCAGCCATTTTCAACAAGGACATATTATATAACTTGGAGAGGTGGGGAAAGCACAGGACAGCTTAAAATAATGATGTTTTCCCGAAATGCAGGCTGCTGATTTCGTTTCTTTGCATGGTGGATTATCCAAAACAGACTGGGGAGGGCCCTTCACAACAATCAGGCTAGAGTCCCAGCTTTGGGGTTGAGGCTGTGCTGGCCACCACCCAAGGCAGCAGGTCCATGGGCAAATTTTAGAACCTGATTGGGGTTTCTCAAATCCATTAGGACTCAGGCCCTCACTACTTAGAGTGTGGCCCTCACCCAGCAGCAGCAGTAGCATCAGGAGCTAGTTAGGAATTTGGAATATCAATACCCCCACCCCTACCCTAGACCTCTGGCATCAGCATCTGCATTTAAACAAGATTCCTATGCTCAGGAAAGTTCAGAAAGCACCGATTTAGGGGAATGGTGGAGGGGGTCTGCTAAAGGTGGTGGCCGCAGTTCAGGTGTCCCCACATTTTTCTGGCCCCAGCAGATCCATCAGGCCTGGCTATAGGATCTGGCCCTCTCCTCTCCTGGGACCAAGCTCCCAGGTGTCCATGGCAACCTGCTATGCCCTGCCCACACTGGCCTTGGTGTGCCCAGGCTGATGGGCAGAGACCCGGAGCTCCCTTCCTCCGACAAGGGCTCCGAGTGTAAATCTAAGCATCTGAGGCTGCTATCCCCTGGGGAATTTTTGTTTGCTTCCATTTGGGCCTTGAAAGCCAAAATATGGCTGAACTTGTCATAACCTCTGCTAAGAAGGAAACCATATGGGGCATGGGGTAGGGATGTGAGTGGAAGAAACCCCCAAAATGAAGTCGCTGTCTCTAGGGTGGGCTTGCTTTGCCCAGGTGGGAGCAGTGGACAGCACTCCCCTTATGCTAGAGGCGTCCTTGCAGTCTTCATCCCAAACCTTGGCCCAACGAAACCTCCACTCCTCCCCCAGCAGCAGGCCAGAGGCTGAAACATGGCTGTGCAAGCAGCCTGTCTGCACCTACAACTTTTGTTCACAGCTTATTGGGTCGCCCTTGCCTTCAGTTGCTCTGGGCCAAGGATATCCCTGAAGAAGACCTCTCTGTCTGTGCAATCAGACATTTCTCCTGAGTGGAAAGTAAGAAACAGTGAGAGACTCTCCGGGGAGAGAGGAAAAGTCCCATCCATCGGTGACTCCAACTGGGGGAGACAAGTAGCCTTGGAATGAAAAACTTGTTTGCAAAGGAGGAGTTGTCACAAGTGTGATTACTGGCATGCCCCTAAGGAGAAACTTCGGACAGCACCCTGTTAACCAAAGATCAAGATAGCCCGACCCTAAGCCAATTGGGGTTTGTGGGATGGGGGTGGGGAGGCAGTTTGCACCCGTGCTGGCTCTGTCACATTGCAGTTGGTGGTTGATAAGAAGGGGCAGGAAAGGGGAGGAGGGCTGTGCTAAGGGAGCGTGTGAAATAGAGTTGGCCCAGGATGCAACACTTTGCCTTTGCAGGTGGCCTTCTAGAAAAGCTTCTCTCTGCAGAGGGTGGTGGGGGCCCTAGAGTTTCTTTGTAATTGCTGCTACATTGGTGGGGGGCAGCCAGCAGGGACTCAGCAAGAGGCCTCTAATGAAAGGAGAAGACAGAATTCCTCCTTCAGGTTCACAAGTAGAGACTTTCAGCAGCCTCCTATGGGGGGGGGTCTCAGAGGGGGCTTGAGTACTAAGCCAGATTTCTTGTATTTCTCTGCTCCCAGCTCCTCCTGCTTGCACACGTGTACACGCACCACCCAGAGACAAGAGCATCCTGCAGGAGCAGAGGGCACAGGCAGGCTTAGCCTGACAGCCAAGTGAAACAAGGCCAGGTGCCCCATTTCATCTGACATGAGGCAAACTCTGCGATTGCTTCCTTCCACCCTTTATTTACAGATGAGGAACCTTGGGCCCAACTGCAACATGAAACGTCCTTATGCTTATTTCGGAATCCCCCAGAAGCAGATACAGAGACAAGGATATGAACGGAACTATACTTGATTTGGGGAGTGATTGAGGAAGGCACCAGCAGGGGAGGGGGGGAAGGTAGAAATCAATGGTGTTATCAAGCAAGTTGTCACTGTGGGCAAGTGGAACCTAATTCATGGCAAATTCTGGATGACGGTTTGGAGCACACATCTCAGAATGATCCCAACTGCAGGACAGGGAGCCAGGATGTTTATCCACCAAATCCCGCCCTAGGTAGAGGACTGCTCCCAGAGGAGATGAGGGCTGTTCATTATCCAGCAGCCTCTGGCTACCAAGCAAAATGGTGCAATACACTTGTTTCCTAAAGAAAACTTTCCAGGGTCATCTCTTTGTGCAAATCAGAAGGCAGAATTCCCTCTGAAAGCTGGGAGGAACTAAGCTGCCCCGATTTGGAGTTGGTAAAGAAGTGCCGATGACCAAGATGACATGGTGCAGGAGGGGTGTTGGGAATTTTGCCCAATGCAGAGCTGCCTTGGGATGGGCTGTAGGGTGTCATCCTGCTCTGGTGGATGAGGCTGCCCCCACCAGCTCCACAGCTTGTGGCCCCACCCTACATGGTGCAGCGATACTGGAGACTTTGCCTGTTATTCAGAGGACACAGATTCACCCCCAGCTTTTCTGCACCGTGGTCACAGTTCACAGACACCCCAACCCTGGATGGCTGGTCCCCAGGCCTTTGCTCCTTTCTTTCCCCAATTCTCCACCTGCTGAAAGCCCATCCTTCCAGGCAGACGTAGCACAAATACTACCTTCTCTGAGAAATAATGCCCTTCTTGGCACCCTCCCTCCTTGCCCGCAGGCATCAATATTGCCATTGATAGTGTCTAGATGGGCCAGGGCTGTGCTTGACCCAAGTCCACACCCCAGCAATGCCTGGTTTCTACCACCCGCACACTGGGCAAGATGGTGAGCACTCATGGGGCCAAGGGACATGCCTACCCAGGTTCTGGGTACCTGGGACCTCAGAACTCCCTGACCAACAGATTCTGAACTTTCTTTTGTTAGTTCATCTTCCTGAGGGTAGACTGTGCCACCCACCACTGTGCACATGGGAGACGTGTCCCCTTAAGCCAGCGGTTCTCAACCTTCCTAAT